TATCTTCTCTGGTATGTCTTTTTCACATAAATCAGTGAACTTAAAGATAAATAAGAAAATGAGAATAGATTATTGAATTATGCATGATGTATTACAATGTATATGACAATATGAGTCTCCCGAAATGCCTCTTAGTGCTATGTATGTATTATATGTGATTGCTTAATTTATTCTTGCTTATTTATCAAAAAAGATTTCTTAACATCATTGCCTAGGAAACTTGTAATTGTTATTCTATCCTGCTTCATTTTTATGTTGTCAAAACAAGTTTAGAAATCACAAAACTTTGTGTGGATTCTCACACTCAAATGATAGCAGCTTGATATGTTGCTCAATATTGTGTTCAACTTCATTTGACCAGAAAATAAAAGCTAATACTAGGGACATTAAAAATACCAGAGGGCTCTGGGATTCTTTACCAATATACTGTGTAAAGCACTATCACATTGAATTTACAAAGGTAAGGGACACAATTATTTTCTAAATCAAATTGGTCCAACAACTAATCAGAGATGTTTTATATTTCTGTGTAGACATCTTGAATTCTCTAGAGATCATGAAAAGTATAATCTAACACTTATTCTCAAAGGAATTATTTTTTAAAATTATGCATATTTATGTATATATTTGCTTCTATGTAGAGGTATCTGCATGTGAATAAAGTGTTCAGGGAGACTAGAAGTTGTCAAGTCCCTGGAGCTGGAGTTACAAGTAGTAGTGAGACAAATGACATGGGTGGAAGTGAACTCTATATTGTCTGTAAGAGCATAAGTTACTCTTTTTTTTTTTTTTTAAATTTATTTTAATTTATTTTGCAATACAATTCAGTTCTACATATCGGTCACGGATTCCCTTGTTCTCCCCCCTCCCGTCCCCCTCACCTTCCCCCCAACGCCCCCCCCCCCCATTCCCATCTCCTCCAGGGCAAAGCCTTCCCCACAGACTGAGGTCAACCTGGTAGACTCAGTCCAGGTAGGTCTAGTCCCCTCCTCCCAGGCCAAGCCAAACAATCCTGCATAGGCCCCAGGTTTCAAACAGCCAACTCATGCAATGAGCACAAGATCTGGTCCCACTGCCTGGATGCCTCCCAAACAGATCAAGCCAATCAACTGTCTCACCCATTCGGAGGGCCTGATCCAGTGTGGACCCCTCAGCCATTGGTTCATAGTTCATGTGTTTCCATTCATTTGGCTATTTGTCCCTGTGCTTTATCCAACCTTGGTCTCAACAATTCTCGCTCATATAAACCCTCCACATTCTCGATGAACAGCCTGGACATGAGTGGGGGTAATGAAAGGCGAGGGTCGAGGGAAAGAGAGCTTGGGGGAGCGGGAGATCCCAGCTGGATCAACAACAGAGAGGGAGAACAAGGAATAGGAGACCATGGTAAATGAAGACCACATGAGAACAGGAAGAAGCAAAGTGCTAGAGAGGCCCACAGAAATCCACAAAGATACCCACACAACAGACTGCCGGCAATGGTCGAGAGACAGCCCGAACTGACCTACTCTGGTGATGGGATGGCCAAACACCCTAATTGTTGTGCTAGAAACCTCATCCAACTACTGAGGGATCTGGATGCAGAGATCCATGACTAGGCCCTGGGTGGATCTCTGGGAGTCCAAGCATAAGTTACTCTTAACCACTGAATCGCCTCTGCAGCCCCCTTAAAAGAGTGAAATACAGCTCTGATAAGATGAAAATGAGTTGGTTAGGAGCATCTACTGACAAATATGTAGATGCATTATCACATTAGATGAGCACTCATGAGCTAGTAAAATTCTCTAATAATTTGTTTCTGATAGCCATATACAGAGTCACCACATGATGTCAAAATTTCAGTTAGATGACCAGCTATAAAATCTGCCATGAAAGATCTTGTGTCATACCTTGTTAGCCAAGATGTGCTTGCACAACTAGATTGTGTCAAAGCAGGAAATAGGTAGAGTACATGTACACAGTTCCGACTCTTGTCTGTCACCAATTTTCTTCTTCCAGCAGAACAAACATTTCATTCTGCTCGGGCATCAGCAGTAAGTAGTACTATTTTATTTTAAGATGAATTGCCTGATGCCAGTGCATTCATAACTTATTGGTAGTAAAATGTTATAGTTGGTTTTTGCACATCTGGACTGTTGACAGTCCCTGCTGATAATTTTATTGAATACATTTTTTAATTTAATCTCTAAAGCTAAGTATACATGATTTAAGTAGCTTATTTTTAATCTGGAAATGCTTTTTTACAGAGATGTGAGAATGAATTTCTTTATTCTAAAATCAGAAATATTATCTTGACTTTTTAAAGTAGTTATATTAGAGGTACTTTTATTAGAACTACTATTTAGGAGTGCAGGCATTTTTCTGTGCACTAATGCAAATATTATTAGATTATGGATGAGAAGGTAGCCTTGCTAATGATTTTTAAATTGTCCAACTCAACCTTATAGCTATGAACTTGAAATAAATGTGTTATTGGTGATCATCAGAATATATAACTGGTCCATAAAATACACTTAAGACAAGAAGACAATAAAACATTTCATTTTTCTGTTATAGGTGAATATACTCAGGTAGCTTGTAGGTTCTTTATATGTATAAATGGTGTATATATCTTATATGACAAAGCAGTTTCCCTCATAGATATTTGTGTTTAGGGCAGACAGGAAATGACTGGAGAATATTAGGATATTATGATACTACTTAATATCATTTAAAAGGAAATTATATGACTTTGGGGAAGATTATAATTCCAAAGGATACTTATTCATACTTTTCTTCATGTGTTTAAATGATATACTCGACTAGTCAACATCTGAACCTACAGAGTCTGCCAGTCTAACTAAACTTGTGATGTTGGATTCAAATGTAAAGTTATGATAAGTGTTTGATAATAGACTGCTATGTGGTAAATCTCAATCCTTGAGGTGAGACAGCTCATTTTACAAAAGACAGAGGTAAGTTGCTTAAGTGAATGTCAGAAATTTCAAATATTGTAGATCAGGCACAGCTCAGAATTCCAGTGCCACTGCTTAGCAAATTCAAGGAAGCAGGGGTATTTATTCTTGGAAAATGAAAAAAATAGAGAATTCTTTTCAGGAATTGACAAGGCTGTTTTTCTTGCAGGATATTTGTCCAGATTGTGTCCATAATGACTTCTAGCAGCTCTGTAGTATTTATGTTCTGTGCTGACTGCTTCATACCTCAGATAAATTCGACAAAGCAAACTGAGTGACGATTGAATATGACATTGGAATTTAGGAACTATTACAGTAGATACTCAGGAAAATGTGACTAGCTACCATGTAATTCTTCCAGTAATGCACTCACCCCAGGCACCTCTGCTGGGGTTTGATCAACATATTTCCTTGCCTACATAATCTTCTAAATTACCGGAGCCTCTGGCTCTCAGAACTGAAGGCTATGACGCCACACAGCCGGTACTTAGATTTCATTTTGCTCCCAAAATTTTTATGATGCATCAGTATTAAATCTCTAACACTGAGATTATTCATGTGTAAAGTGGGATATTGAATCACTGTGTTTAACTGCTAGGTTTTTATGAGTTTTAAACGAAGCCCAAAGAGAGTCACATAACAAGTGACACCAAACATAGTCTATGCTATTTTTTGTGTCTAAATTGGGGCAAAGGGTGTTTTGGAATGTTTTATGAACTTCACCTATTTATGCATTGCATCCATCTATATAGGCCTTTATTAATTGTAGAGTAAGAAAAACTTCTTTCTGGTTAGGAGAAATCATTAAAAGCCTGCTGTAGATGCTGGCAGTATGACTCAGTAGAGAATGCACTTGTTATGCAAGCATGGGCACCAGAGTTTAAGTCACCAAAATGGACATAAAAGCCAGGTGGGTGTGGCTGCATGCTAATAACTTCTGTGCAGGCAGAAGGTAGAGACAGAGAATACCCAGAGCAAGCTGTGTAGCCAGACTAACTGAAATGGTGAGTTTGTGCTCCCTCACAGATCCTGTCTCAACTTATAAGGTAGGGAGCAATTGGGAACACCTGATGTCTGCCTCAGGTCTCCACACGTATGAATATATATATAGACATGCATACCAGCACACAATCAAGTGTGTGTGTGTGTGTGTGTGTGTGTGTGTGTGTGTGTGTGTGTGTGTATGTGTGTGCGCATGAGAGTGTGTTTTACTTAATACCCTTAATAAGAGAATATTTTCCAAATTATTTAAATGGTTTCCCTATTGTTGGACATGACATTAATTTATCATACATTTACCATTATATGTAAAACATGATGATGAAGGTCTAAGATTTTCAAGGTTCAGTCTTGGTATTATGGACCAGTTTTTGAGAATAAATGTGTTAATATAATGGGTACATGAGCCAAGTTAAAGACATCGATGTAAAAATATGACAAGAGTTGTGTGTGGTAATGTACAGATACATCTCAGCACTTGAGATTCTGAGGCAAAGTTGTAAGTTTGAAGCTAGACTGGGCTACATAGTGGAATCTTGTCTCTAAAAGAAAAGAAAAACTTTTAATGAATAAATAACAAACATCCTATAATAGAGTAGGCAGAGCTTACTATTAAACTATTACTTATCAAACAAGGGTTAATCATGTCATAGTAGTGCCCAGCTATGGTAATAGCTGGGTGCTTTTGCTACTCTTGAAAGGATAAAGGAAGAATTCCTAAGTTTCTAGAATCTGAAGAGAGGACCTCCATGGATTAGAATTTGACTCTGGAGAAGATGCTCATACTCCGGAGCACTCGTAGGTGCCTGCTTTGGGGAGCTGCACTTAGGAACTTTGATTTATTCCTTATTACACCAGCTCTCAGCAAACTTCTTGAGTTGATTTTATTATCACTTTGATCATATAAATAGTATGTCCCCCTTGTTATATTGCTAGTAAATCTTGGAAATGAATCTCATTACTTCCCCCATACCTTCTGTGTTACTCAGAACTCCTCGTACTAAACATTTAAATGCATATCTTTTTTCTCTTCATTGTTTTCTAGACATGACGTTATTCCCATTGTTGTTGTTCCTGGCTGCTGTATTGCCCCCATCCATTCTTCGAGAACACTATGAGGTATGGGTAAGGTTTAGTATCTTATGAGTAAAATCTAGGCAACCATGAAGGCTAGTAAGCTATAGGATCACTCTTCAAAATTCTGGAAGGCCAGAGTGTGGAGTAATTCACTTTGATCCTTAGCAATACACACACACAAACACACACACACACACACACACACACACACACACACACACACACACACACACACCAGAGTGGTTAAGTATATCTACTATGCAAACAATAAGTATGTAATGAGCCAAATATTTGTTATTTATAATATCTTCTTATGCTTAGACAATCCCAGATGAGGCTCAGTCACCTTCTTTAATGATGGAATGTGTAGTACCAGAAAAATACCCTCCCCTTAGTTAGAAAGCTACTAAAAATTAGAAGCACTGGGGATTGTTGTAGCCTTCATTCTCTTCTTTTGGCCTCTGCATTGCAGACTACTAGAATTCCTAAAGAGTACCGAGTGCCAATAACTGGTTAAACCTGTTTTGGAATATAAATTATATGTCTTTTGTTACCATAATCAAATTAGTAACCTGGAGATTATTATCTAGGTGTTCTTCCAAGTTGTTTGCATTCTCAGTTTCCTTCTTAAATTGATTGTATTTTACAGACTTTTGAACCATCTATTCTCTTTCTCTTCATCTCTTCCCCCTCTCTTCTCTCTTTGGTCTATTGATACTTCTTTATAAATTTTCAGGATCTCATAGCAGAGACATTCAAGTCATGTTTTATTAATGAAGGCTTCTTTGAGGGTTACCATGGAGAACTGATTCATCTCTCTGAGTCACTTATTGTTTTTTCTCTTGGTTTTACTTTGTGGTGTTGTAATTATTAGGTCACCTTTCTATCCAAAACAAACCCTTTAACATTTTAAACTCACATTTCCGTGTTTCTAGTATGTTTTTCTTTAAATCTGTACAACTTTCTGTTAAGAAAATGTAAGCACATGTATTGTTTCATGGAATTTTTAGCTACCACGGAAGGTAGCATAAGAAGCAGAAAATAATAACGGCTTTCTCAGAAGCCATATGTGTTGTCTTTAGAAATAAAACATCTTCAGGTAGAGTTTTCAGGTTTAAATGTAAAGTCTGGGTTTTGGGAGTTGGAGAGATGGCTTGGTGACTAAGAGCATTTACTGCACTTGAAGAGGACACTTTGGTTTCTAGCGTCCACCTCAGGTGGCTTATATCCACGTGAAACTCACACTCTAGGGAATCTGATACTCTTTTAAGGCTTCCACTGGCATTGCACTCATTACACAAACCCATATTCTACTCAAACATATATACTTAAGTATAAATGTTTTAGAAAATGATGCCATTCCCTTAATAAATAAACATCTGGGGATACTGTTACTTTATATTAAAATGTGAAGATTTTCAAGCAATGACTTTAACATGGACATCCTTTCTGTCTTAGAAATCACTAGCTGTGAGAGATTTCTTCACACAAGGCTTTCATAGTGCCTTCAGAACATAATACATTAGGGAGAGATGAACGTGTCGCAGCCCCTGCAAAGTAGTGTGATTAGATCTATGGGTGCAATATCTGCAAAGTCTTGAGGGAAGTAAGACTGTAGAAAGGAGAAACAACTGATCCCATCACTAAAATATGTATGTGAGAGTCAGTCCATCAATAGTTATGCTGTAACATCTTGCTCTACACTATAAAACAGCACATTTTGGAGTATGTTTATATCGACACATGGCTCTTATATCTCTGCCAATTCACATAATATCACTCCATCCACCTGTGCCACACAAATGAAAAAGGTAAATTTAAATATCAGCATCTGAGTTAACTTGGCAGGCTTATTGCTGTCCAGTGAAATGTAAAGTCAGTAATGCTAAACTATTTTCAAGAACCCATTGTCTCCAAATTGACTTGGATGTTCTATTAGATAAAGCTGTCTTCAGATTGATCACAAACCCCTGTTACATATAAAATTCTCTAATGCACACATGTATTGGCTAAGGGCCTACACGTTATCTCACAAGCTTTCAAACTCCTGGTCAAATGGCTGTTGCCTCTTAAGGTCTATAATAAATTATATTTCTTTATCCTTAGCACTTCCTTGCTACAGCCTAACTGAGTGTGAGTGACTTAAGCTTCTCTACTGTTCATGGCTATTATTATAGCTCTCTCTTAAGTCAAAATTGACATTTGTAGCCTCAGAAGAGTTTTTATTTGATATGCCATGAATTCCTTTTATTTTCAAAATTTATATTTAAAGTGTTTCTCATGAAAAGTCATAGATTTTCTTAAATTTATTATTAAGGCTTAATGACTAATATTGGCCTGAGTACTTTAAAATGACTTTCATTCACCTTAGACAACTTTTTCACTTTTTATGCAACCTTAACATTCACTAACATGACTTTACTTTTATTTCCAATCAGAATATGAATTTTGAGGATTTGACAACCACTAGAGTGTCAGTCCAAGAAGAGATTGTAAACAAGCACAACCAACTGAGAAGACTGGTTTCTCCACCTGGTAGTGACTTACTAAAGATGGTGAGGGCTCACAACAGGACAATGCATTTGGAGAGCTGTGTTTGGAGCATGTGGATAGCATCTGGCTTCTGCTGTGTGCTTTAAGAGGGTCTGCCTCTATTGTAGATTCTATTTAAAAAAAAACAAAAAGTATTCATTGTTTTGTTTATGTGCATGTGTGTGGGTGTGTGTGTGTCCATATGCTATAGCATGCATGTAGAGACTGAGTTGGTTCTCTACTTCTCTACTGTGTTTAGCTGTGCAACGATCAGAGTAGAATTCATTAAATTTCTTTTATAACAGTGACTCATTGGTATTATGGAGCTATATCAATTATAGTTACTGAACTAAAATCAAATATTTTGAGTTTGGTTTTCAGTGAAAAGCCACGATGTGATTTTGGCTCACTCTTTTCTCCTAAAGTCAGAAGATTTCTCCTCTAAGGCCCAATGACCTTTCATCTAAACAGTCTATTCTCTGGATCCAGATCCAAAGTCCATGTGTCTCTTAAATTTATTTAATGAGGTAAAAAATGAAGCTAGGATTTATGAGGCAACTTCTTACAGCTGTAAAAATAGTCTTAGTCCTTCAACATGGTTAGTGATACTCGCTCTATAGCAATTACTCAGTCTTTAATGATTCCTGTTTTTATTTCAGTAATTTTAGATCATTAAAGGTTTTAGTACTTTTTTGTGGCCTTGGGAAGACAGACTACTTGTACTTATTTGGTACAGAATAGTCCATAGATAAGAGGGAGTATCTTTGGACATAGTTTATGAAACTACTAAGAAGATCAATGTTGGGGGTTGGGAAGGACTATAGAAGGCATGGGAAATGGAAGGAAAGAGAGCAAGTGTGGCATCAAATGGAGGCTGTGGGTGAGAGGGCATGCATGGGAGGATGAGCAGGATCAGGAAGATGGGGGGAGGAAAACATACAAAATAAACTTATTTATAAACACTACCATGAAAGCTGATAATATACATGCTAACATAAAAATTAGACATATACTATATTATATATTGATTATGATGAAAATCAGAAGGCACCTACAGAAATTTTGCAATGATATCAGCCTGTGTGCAAAGATCATGTGACTCTGATGTTTGAGTTACTCCATGGATATCTTCTTTTTTTTCCTCTTTAGCAATGGAGCAATGATGCCCGAGTGAATGCACAGAAATGGGCAAGCCAGTGCACTTACCAACACAGTCCTGCAGATTCCAGGACCACCAGTATGTAAAATAAAAATCACTTATGTTTGAATGGAGAGTAACACAGGAAAGCCCATTTTCTCATATTGTGCTAAGAAAAAATTGTAAATAAACACCCATTCTGATGCTGCTTTTTTAAAATTTAAATATCTCTGGGGCAGAGCTGGCTCTGAAAGTCTGCAGTTTGTGCTTATTGAATGTTTTATATTTTACACAAACTATCTTTCCTGAGGCCAGTTTTGTGCCTTGCAACCAGTTTCCCATTGAAGCAAGATGTGGATCTTCTCTTTCTTTGCTTTGAAGATTAGAAACTGATGTCTGGATGAAAATAATTACTAATTATGGCTTTATAAAGAAAATGTGAAATTAGAATCTCTTTTTAATTTTATCCTATTATGGTTTTATCTATGTGTATGTGTATCATGTATATTTATGCATGTGTGCATGTATGTAAGAATGCTTCTAGAGGCCAGAAGAAGGCACCAGATCCTCTGGAGCTTACAGGTTACAGGTGGTGTCACAGTGCTGTTGTCACAGGTGGTGGTAAGCTACACTGTATGGATGTTAGGAGTTGGATTGAAGTCTGCTGAAATAGGGAGGTATAATCCTACATGCTCAGCCATTTCTCCAGCACTCTGAAATTAGAATTTCTGTTTCTAACCCAATTATTAATGAAATGGCTTTTTGTGTTTCCAAGATATCTTTTTAATTATAAAAATATATTTAATTTGATCAACTAATTCTTCATTTTTCTCAAGAAATATCAATATCTTAGTATTTACATTTATTATTTCCTTCATTATTTTTGATGGGGAGGAGACAGGTCTCACTGTATGGCCCAGGATATCTTCAAATTTCTGTTCTTCCAACCTCAGCTTCCTAAGTACTGGGATTTTGTTTCTAAGTCACCAATGTGTGTGCACTGCTCAGCTCTTTCTTAAATTTTAGTGAGATCAACTTATGAAAGCCTAAAAGGACATATTATGTTAAATTAAAAATAAACTATGAAACAATATTTACATAAGGAAGTGTAAAAATGATAACAAAATTAATAAATGGACCATGTGATAATATATTTCTTAAAACATTAAAAATGATCACCTTTGGCCCAATTTAAACCTAATAAATTAATTATCTCTTTTAAAGGTTTTAATTTTTAGACATTTCTAATTTAATAACATAATGACTAAAAGATAATTTAAAAGGCTACAATATTGTTAAAGTTTAAAGTAATTTTTTATTTACAGAGCTTGATAAAAATAATAAGCTATTTTTGGAGGTTTAAAGATGCTTTTTTTTCCCATTCTTTGAAGAAAATATGGCCCATGAAGTTTTAATATTCTAGGTAAGACATGACTGTAACATGAATTGCTAAACGGTCTTATTAATAAAAAACCCAGAGCTATGAATTGGGGTGAAAGCTGAAAGATCAGAGAGCAAGCCAGCCACGTCTTACTTCTAGGAAATCCTCAGCCAAAGAGACAACTACTTCCTGTACACTCATGCCTATATACCTTTCTGAGCTCTGTCATCTTACTTCTTCTCTCTACCCAGCTGTATCACTTCCTCTTCCCTTCCAGTTCTATCACTTCCTGTCTGTCTGTATAGACCTCCAGACTTCTATGGTCAACTAGTGCTGGGTTTAAAAGCGTGTGCCACCATGCCAGACTCTGTTCCCAATGTGACCTTGAACTCACAGAGATCCAGATGACTCTGTGCCTCCCGAATGCTAGGATTAAAGGCATGGGCTACCACTGCCTAGCCTCTATGCTTAACATAGTTTCTAGCTTTTTCCTCTGATCTCCATGCAAGCTTTGTTTATTAGAGCACAAATAAAATATCACCACAGATGACCTATATACTTTGAAAATATAATCCTTTCTGTTTTGTTTGCTTTGTACTTGTAGTTTTTAAAGAATGACTGTAAAGAAGGCTCACACAGAACAATAATCCTAAATACATAAAATTGTTATAAAAAAATTCTAGCTACTCAGGAGAGAAATGAAAGGAGTTAATCTTGGTGTTCTTTAAGACTGCAAATCCACATTTGGTACACTTGAGGCACAGGCATGCATACACATACACATATACACACAGGTGTGGAGAATTTAATGTGTGGATGAATGAGTTTGAGGATAGAAGCTACTGAAGAAAAGATTTCTCTATCTACTTAGTGCTCATCTTGTTTAGCACACACATGTTGAATACCTACAGCTACTGTTCAACTAAAGGTTCATCAGGTCTGAGTCATGGTCCTTAAGCAATATTCAAAAGGAACTGAGTAATGACTTTAAAAAGCAGGGATTCTGTGCGTGTGTGTGTGTGTGTGTGTGTGTGTGTGTGTGTGTGTATGTGTGTGTTTATCTTTTTTTTATTGCTGTCTTTGTGAGTGGTCTGTCTTTTTCCTTAGACATAAGATGTGGTGAGAATATCTTCATGGCAAGTTATCCAGCATCATGGTCTCGTGCAATCCAAAGCTGGTTTGATGAAGCCAAAGATTTCAAGTTTGGTTCAGGCCCAAATCCAACTGATGCATTAGTTGGACATTATACTCAGGTAAGAAAAATACTCTCTCTGTAAGTGCTAGGCAAGGAAATATTTTTAATTACTTGACTGATTTCAATAAAGAATTTCGGGGCAGAGAGTTTTTATTTTCTTTTTGAGACATGGTCTCACTATGTAGCTCAGAATGGCTTTGAACTTCCTGTCACCCTATCACATTCTCTCAATTTCAGGGAGTATAGAGAGAGTGCACACCATCTGTACACCTTGGGGAAGATCTTGAGTTGTTGATTGTTCATTGGTCTTGACACTCATTGGCTATTTGAGCTGCCAGCTTTCAATGGCTTATCTAATCTTTGTAAGGAAACATACTTGATTATTTTTCTAACCATAATTTCTTGACTCAAGTCCCCAAACAGAGGTAATGGCCTATATTCTCAGGTACCTCCCCAGACTTTAACAGGACTGTACATCAGTTCTGTATGGCTCCTGAGCGAAAAGGTGAAAGTCTCCTGGACTTTTATTACCAGAAACCCTGACAGCTACCTTCCTGCTGGATCTAAAGGCCAGGGCCTTGGGCCCTTTCCTATCAAATAAAATGACTCTTTTAGCAAGAATTATAAGATTGTGGCTCCATCCTGTCCACTGAAAGAGGGCCTTCCATAGCTAGGAAGTAGGTGATGTGGGGATCCTGCTTGGCTGGGTAAAGGAAAGATCCAGTTGTGGTACAGGCATGGGTCAACTCCCAATAGCTGACCTGATCAGATCCTGTAGGCTGAGAGACTTGAGCTGAAACACAGTTTTAGGAGGAAACTAGGATATGCAAGGCCAGAGCTCCACAAAGAACACAACTTCTAGGAAATATGCTGAGTGTTGGCCTTCCATCATGATGAACCAGAAAGGCTTGCAAGCCACTCATGATCCCTGTCCACACAGATAAGAAGATACTCATGATCACAGCTTAGAGTATCAAACTGAAGCATCTCTTCTATGATACTGGGGGGAAGTTCTGGTTCATCTTTCAAGGCCAGGGTTCTATGGACATAGGACACTTGTTTTTGCAAAGGCACTTCAGAGTAGTCACCAGCAACATCTTGGTCAGTTTGGTGTCTGACCAGGAATTGACCCGATATCCAGATTACCCTTTAGCTGTTTATGGTCACATGCCTGTAGGGCTGAAAGTAGTGTCAGAGGAGTTATCCATCACACCAGGGTCTTCCTGGTGTCCACAGATTCTTTGATGCCTTTCATTTTGACACGAAGCTCCTTGGCCTCACCCCAGCCGTCTGTATCCTCATCATCATGGAAACTGTCAAAGATGACAAAGAAGAAGAAAGCTTCTTGGAGATGGGGCTGAAGTCACTCTCTGCCTTTATAAACTCCACTGAGTGCTTCCTGAAAGTTTTGCCAGACTGGCTGACTAACAGTAGTCCCTTAGGGATGTTCTAACATCTGTAGTTTGATTCAGTCACTTAAATATATCTATGAGGCATATAGAAACAAAGTATACCAATGGTGTTTTAATTTTGTGTTTGTTTTCTGCATTATTTTCCTATGTGACCTGTGCCTTGTCTTTGTCTCTGGGTGTATAGGTTGTTTGGAATTCATCTTTCCAAGTTGCATGTGGAGTTGCTAAGTGTTCTCACCAATTATTGCAATTCTTATATGTTTGTCACTATTGTCCTCCGTAAGTATCCACTTCAAAGTTTATTTTCAGCAATGTCAAATGCAATTTGACATTTTTAAATTATCATAGTATAAAAACAAATTAAAGATATATTTTGTACATGGAGAGGGAAATAAAAACTTCTAAATATTTCCTAGAGTTGAAACTTATTTAACTAAATCTTTGAAATGTCCATCTCATCAGTTCCATGAATCAAACTCGGAAGCATTTTCCTTATCTTTAAAAATAATCTCTCTTCCCTCCTCGATTGCTGTTTTCTGGACTAATGGTGACCTCATGATTACCCAAGTATGAGGATCGTGAATTCCTACTGTCTGTTCTTGCTATGTTTGTAGGCTACAAAGCAAACTTTTGATAGTAGATCAGGAGTGAACATGAGTGAATGACACAGGTTAGTGATTGTGGTGCTTCTAATTAATTGATCCTACTCCTGATTATATAGGTTGTTGTATCTGTTTTTAAAATTTAATTGTTGAGGTGCGGTAGTGTTTTACACCTTCAATCCTAGGACTTGAGAGAGGCAGAATCAGGAAATCTTCGTGAGTTTGAGGCCAGACAGGACAACACAGAGAATAGTTACTCAAAATTCCAAAAGAAAGTTTGTTTTATTTTTTGTGAATTTCATATAGGAGTACTGTATTTCATTCATATCCGTACCCCCTCTCCCTGAAATCTTCCTGCCCCACACTTCCTCACAAATTCATGATCTCAGCTTTGTTATTGTACTCTCACAAAGCCTAACATGGACAAACATAGATGCAGATGTAATTAAAGTATTTTTAAAGAAAAATTCAGTTAACATTCAGATTATGAATATATATTCATTTTTTCATGGGAATTTTTTTAAGAGCTCAAACATAGCATAGAAGGGAAGTAAATTTCTGGCTTTAAAATCAAGATATAATAAATGAGTTTTTCAGAATTTTTTAGTAAATTCTAAAGAAAAAGTGTGGTGGCGCACGCCTTTAATCCCAGCACTTGGGAGGCAGAGGCAGGCGGATCTTTGTGAGTTCGAGGCCAGCCTGGCCTAGAGAGCGAGATCCAGGAAAGGCGCAAAGCTGCACAGAGAAACCCTGTCTCGAAAAACCTAAAAAAAAAAAAAAATTTTAGCTTTCTTAACTATTTGAAATATATTAAGGACCTCTCAAAGAGCCTTTGAAGTTTAAGACGTAATAAATTCTTACAGGTATAAGGTAGCAACATTTGGGCTATAGAGATGACTCAGTAGTGTAGAATTTTTGCTGTTCTTTCAGAGAATCTAAGTTTGATACCCAACAACCATGTAAAGTAGGTCATATCTATTTTTAACTTTAGGACTAAGGACCTGTTCTGTCCTTTGTGGGTGTATTCGTGTTCACATGCATAAATAAAGCAACAGAAATTAAGCTTGGAAAAATAGCAAGCAGGCTAGTCATTGTTACAGTTGTGCAGAAAGATAAAACTATTGGTTATTTTCTCCCTTGGCAGCTTACATAGCATCTTCTAATACTATGAGAGCTAATCTGGAGGAAAGAGGCTTCCAGGTCAATTCCAGCTCAATTTCTCCAACTCCTGTGTCTGAAGTTGGTGATGTTTTTAACAATAGGCTCTTATCTTTGAGTTCAGGGAGGCAACCAAGGGTGATAACAAAAGGTTGTATTGACCTGGATAAGGAGCTATAGGTAAGCTATGGGTCTTAAGAAAGGATCAGTTTTTTTCATGGAGGAGACTCCTGATAAGTTATCCAGTCCCAGGTTGTCAACCCTAAACACTTGTGAACACCAAAGTCATCAAATCGCCTGGAACTGGAGTTACAGACATCTGCAAGGCACCCGAAGTGGATGCTGGGAACCAAACCCAAGTCTATTAAAGGGGAATGTCCTCTTAAGTCCTGAGACATCTCTCCAGCTCTATTATTCTTTTAATACAAGAAACTTATACAAGAGGCTGAGGGTCTACAAATCAAGTCTTTTAAATGACTCATTTCTAATCTGTTTGTGGGTTGAATAGTAGGATCCTCAAAGAATTTTCAAGCATGTTTCTGTTGGCATTAAGTAATACAAAGAAGGAAGCCACTGGACTCCATTCAGCTGCTTGGTCAAGTATGCATCTGGAGCCTGGTACCTAGAAGTGTCAGAGGAGTAATGAAGAGGAGCAAGTGACAGATCTTGTACACTGCTTTATGACTTTTTCATTCTTAACATTGCTCGTACACCTAGAGCTGTGTTCTGCATATAGAGGAGAGGTTCTGCTGCAAGCCCTTGGGCATTGCACACACCACCCTGCCACCCTTAGTGTAATGGAGAATCTGACTTTTCTAATTTCCTGTGATGATCAGCGAAGTGATGCTCCTACTGAGGGGTAGGCTTGGCACTTTCAGAGTGCTGCACCCTTCAGAGAGTTTATATAAAGAGTTTTTCTCATTAATATTCTCATTTTGATAAGCATAGAAGTCTCAAACCCACACGCTACCTTTAGAAAACCCCAAACATTCCTAAGCATTAAGACTTTCACAATTATACACTAAATACCTGAAACTCAACACATCATCGGTACCTCTTCCACACTATAAGAATCACAGCATTTTCTTGTATCTAACTTTCTCTATAGGAAATATCTTTTATACTCAAGCAGCATTCCTGTCTTATGTATATTCCAGATTTATCAGGAAAAGAAGAGAGTGTTTCAACAATAAAACATTTCTAAACTTTAAATTCTTATTTATTCTAATTCAGTTGCTCAGGTTGTGACATGATGGTTGAGGGAAAAAGTGAATGGATTAATTATCCCGTCATTTCACATTTATATCTGAATACTCTTAGGAAATGCTAGGTTTTTTTTTTTGTGTGTGTGGCATAACTAAAGCTTTTAATAGGATTCCATGTATATATACGTGAATATATATATGTGTGTGAGTGATATATGCAATGATTTGAGTGTACAGGAAAAATTAAAAGTATTTGATATTTTCTATTTCTATTTCAGTGGTAATTATTTAAGAAGGCAATACATCCCTTACACAATAGGACAACCATGTGCCCTTTGTCCTGATCACTGTGAAGATGGACTCTGCAGTAAGTTTTATTAACTTATTAATATAATAATATCAAATCTGTTTTAAGATTTAATAGCATGGCCTTAATTTCAAGAGAATTTAGAATTACAAATTTTCCTTTGTTTAGGATGTACGTACTTTTGACATTGAAAAACAGGATACTCTATGTTGTCGAAGGAAACATCTAAATCAGTGCATACTTGCAACGATATTGGTATTATTGCTATTGGAGTCTACAGAAATATTCCTGTGGCTATAATTCCATAAATTTCAAGTGAATTTTCTTATCCTCAATAACAGTAGGATCTTAATGTTGGCATTTTTTTTTTTTTTTTGGTTTTTCAAGACAGGGTATCTGTGTAGCTTTGCGCCTTTTCTGGGACTCACTTGGTAGCCCAGGCTGGCCTAGAACTCACAGAGATCCTCCTGGCTCTGCCTCCCGAGTGCTGGGATTACAGGCGTGCGCCACCACCGCCCGGCTAATATTGGCATTTTAAGAAGACAAAGCAATATAAATCTAAGTGGTTGAGATAGTAGTACACAGGTCAGTCCAGAGAAGGAAGAAATATACTATAATTCTTTGCCCACCAAGGAGCTTAGTACAATAAATTCTCAAGCTCCTCCAGAGCATCATTTGAATTTTGTGTTACATTTTTATTTATTTGTTAATGGGTATTTGTGTTACTCTGTATATGTACAGGCACATGCATGTGTGAAATGGCTTTTGTGTGTGATTGTGTGTTGAGGTTAGACGACAACTTGTGTGAATTAGTTCTCTCCTTCCATAATAAAGGTGTGAGAGATTTTATCACAGGAAGTGAAATGAATGTCATAGTATCTCATTTTTAGTATTATTATGAATATAAATTCAAAGAATTAATGTAACCCTAACATTCTGTGAGCAGAGGAAGGAGAATCAGGAGTTCAAACCCAGGTTGGAATATTGATCAAACTCCAGGTTAGCCCAGGCTACATAAAGGAACTGTAACAGCAATAAGGTATTTATAAAAATGGAAAATAACATCAAAGTTAATATAGAAAATTCTGGTGGCAATTCACTGGGATTTTTGTGCATTTTCCAGTGAATTACAGAATCCTTTATTGTGCATTTGTTTAAATAAAGTTCACAGTACTAATGATATTAAGATTATAAACTAAAAAAGGAAGAGCCAAATACCCACAGCTCTGCTGAATGTGCTTTTAAAGGAGACTATCCTAGCACTAACAAATAGCAAATTGAAAAATTAACAAATGGAAAGAGAAAGAAAATGACCTTTATTTTTATTTTTGAAGTTTAAATTTACTTATTTGTGGTTTAGGCTGTTTTCAGTTTTGAAATAGGGTTTCACTATGTAAAAAAAGCTCACCTAGAACTCACCATGTAGTCTAGTCTGATCCCAATCTTTTTGATCTTCATCTATCAATCTCCCAGGTGTTATGTATAGTGTATCCTTCAAAGAGCTCTTAGACAAAGCATAATGAAAGAGCCAAGTAGGAGATATTGATTGATAACTAGTCATTTTGTATTATTAATAAAAATGTTATGAAAATGGGTTGCAGAGAGAGGAGGGAGAATACTAATACTTTTATGTTAACTTTGCTTGTTCAGTGATGATGAATATATACATGCATATGGAGAGGTGTAAAGGGCAAAAAGGCCTAGTGCACACAGACAAGCACCAGGGAAGTCAGGAAAGTTAAATATATAGTTTATCTCTTCAGTGGAATGAGATGCATAACTGCTCTTTCTGGAATGTCAGGAATTACATGGTTTTACATCCTGGTGATCCTTTGCTATCTCACGAGACAGACTCCACCGTATCTCCCAGAAATTTTTTTTACTTATCCTAGACCCTTTACCTGTAAATCTTCAGCATTGATTTTAGGTCATAAAACCCATTCTTACAAGTGATGTCACTTGTGCTTTACAACAGCCTAAGTGACTTCTATGTCATCTTAGGGCCTGGCCAATCCTGATACCCGCAGGGGTTATGTTTACTTCAGCATCTTCCTAGACCCTAAATCTTGGACACTATCTCTGAGTCAATGGTATCCATTCTTATGAAAGAAGCCAGATGTACTTTGTAAAGAATCTCAATGTAAACATGTCTTTAATTGCTGTGTACTTGGGACTGAGTTAATTGTTATCAGATAACTTTTTTTTCCAAAATTGTGCTGGACTTAAACATGGCTAATATAAAATGATCTCAGCCAGACTCTAGAAGTCCTGGACAAGCACTGTTACCATAAAGTCAGGCTGACTTTCATTTTTATCTCTTCATGGATCATGGTTTTTTTTGCTCCTGCTGGCTGTAAAGCCTGCAGACAACCACCACACAAAGTAAAAGAGGACTAGCCATGTGGCTATAGTGGTGCTTCTCTGGAGGTTGAATTAGCAGAGGTATATGAGTGTATGGGCTAGATTCTAGCCTAGTCAACAAATAAGGCTCTCTCTCAATAAAAGGTACCAAAAGTACAGGGTATAAACAAGATATTTTGAATTATTTGGTAATTATGAGTTTCCAATTCTCTGAGACTGGGTGAGCTGAATGGAGGTTCATGAGCTGCCAAAATACATGAAAGACATGACAAAGACTGTAGGGTCATGAATTTCAATTGAGTTTGTTGGGTTTCTGGTCACTGCAGTACATTTGAGTATAAATATTTAATAATCAGAAGAAAATTCTCCACTACCTACTTTTCCAAGCCTCTGTTTTCACAAAATTAGCTCCTCTTGTATGAAAAACAGAATCAAAGTTTAGGGCAATCATGGACAACAGAACATTCTGGAATGATTTAATTAATGGTCAGCATTTTTACATAAAGAGGCTGGCTGCTAGGAACAGTAGCTATAGAACATGTTTATGAAACTTTTTTTGCTAAGAATATAGAGTTTATATATTAACCATTCACAAGTTTAGAAATTACTTGCATAATGACTGACATTTTAAATAGTGGGGTTCTTTTTTAGTATTTATCTTTATTTTATTTTTATAAATGTTGGTGTGCACGTATGTATTTATGCACATACATTTGGACCCAGTGACCATGGAGGACAGAAGAGAGCATTGGGTCCTATGGAACTGAAGTTACAGGTTATCTTAAGCCATGATGTGGATTCTGAAAATCAAAACCAGGTTCTCTGCAGGAAGAGCAAGGACTCTTAATCACTGAGGCATCTTTCTAGCCTGTAGATAGCTTAGTTCCTCAAAGAACCACTGAAGTTAAATTTCTCAAGCATTTTGTGAGTGAAGAAATACATTAATTCATATCAAAGACATGTCATAAAGCTCTAATTTTAATGGACATTCATTCATTTGCTCAATCCCCTTCTACCAATTCATATATTTTATTTTGTCTCTGTTAATAGAGGAAAATAATAACAAAATAATGAATTCCTTTGTTTTTTTTTCAGCGAATAGTTGTGAATATGAAGATAAGTTTTCTAACTGTGCAGAATTGAAGGCTTCACTAACTTGTGACTATCCAATGGTTAAACAAGAGTGCAAAGCTACATGTAACTGTGAAAGCAAAATTCATTAAATTTCTAGTACAAATGAACAAGGCCATGTGAAGTAAGACCACCTCCTCTACTTAGACTAGTCACATTCCACTAGAAAACTTGAGGTACAGATACATTGAAATGATTCCAAACAGTAAATATTCCTTTCTTCTCTATTGTTCTATTTAGTAGAAATATTTTATATCCAAAGATTCTGAAATAACATAATCAATAATACCTTTGAACCTTGACCTCTGATTTCTGTGACACATTTATGGAGTTGAGTCAAGCCCAAAGATATACGGTTTGTCAGTATGACTAAGGTCACTGAAACTCCATCCTGAAAATAAGAATCAGATTCCCAGAGCACAACGGAGTGAAGGAACAGCCTATACTTCCATTGTAACTGTCAGTCATTTTTCCTAGCTCTACCTAGCTAACTATATCTGAAAACAAATCCCCATTAGCTTTCTTTGATTTCTTCCCACCATTTTCTCTTCTTCACATGTGCTGGAATTAGTGGTTCAAATTCTAAACTTCAATTTACATTTTAGTTTTTGAGTTTTTCAAGCACCTTATAAAAATGAAATGTAATGAACAGAATTTGCATGTCCAGGTGACTGTGTTGACCTTGATCGTTTGAAAAATTTAAATAAATCTTACTATTTGCATATTAATCCTCTCCTAGTATTTGTTTGAATTTCTGATTTGGAGTTTGTTTATTCCAGGATGGTATTATAATATTTATGATACAGTTACTTAATTTTTACTGACATTAAGGTTCTTAGTCTTCACAAGAGTTTACACTAATCAGTATACACTTCGATTAATATGCAATAGTGGAGCCAAGCTTGATAAATATTCCTGATCCTACCCCTGGCATATCCAACTTTCTGGCCTACCCAGATCTTATATCTGCTATGCCCCCACAGACTGGTGAGTCCAATGGACCCTAGAACACCTGAATTAATTCCAACCTTAAGACATCCTGTGCACTGGGATAACTCTGATGCACCATAGAATCTAATATCAGACATACAATCAATGAAAGAAATCCACATTTCCTGGTCAAATTGCTAAAACACAATATGAATGGCCCCAACAGTGTGACCCTGTTCCACCAAATCCTCTACTTTTACAGAAATATTTTACAATGAAAATGAACCTCAGGGCACAAAATCTTTAAAACATCACAAAATTTTATCAAGGAATTTGAAGATTTAAGGAAGATATTGTAGCCTGAAGGTTTTCCTATGTCCTGCCCAGAGGGCAGTTGGGACAAGTCTTTCCCACTCATATCCCCCAAGTAAGCATACAGGCGCTTATATTATTAAAACTGCTCAACCATTCACTCAGGCCTACCACTGACTAACTCTTACACTTAAACTCAGCCCATTTTTGTTAATCTATGTTTTGACATTAACAAATATCTCAAATAACATAAAGATAGTGCCTGAGTGATGTCTAGTGTGTGTGTGTGTGTGTGTGTGTGTGTGTGTGTGTGTGTGTGTGTATACATGTGTGTGTATAATATATATATACATATATATATGTATATATATATATATATTTTTTCAAAATGATAAAGACAATTCAGAATTTGAAAACTATATTCAGGAAGAGAAAGAAATATTAAAGGTAACTCCAGCTGAAAGAAAGGTGGAGTTGAAAAAGTCACCAAAGCTCAGGGGAAGGTCAAGTAGATGGATGGAGTAGATGATAGCATATCAAGACTTAAAGGAAAGTCCAAAGAACTGGGCCATTCTAGTAAAGAATTGAAAACATTAAACAGGCACATATTGGAAAGCAACATGCAAAAGTGTGGTGTGCCATGGAAACATCAAATCTTGAACTTCTAGGCATAGAAGGAGAATATTTTATTCTCCTTCAGCTATTCAGATAGTTTTGCTGGGAACAGTAGTCTAGGTTGGCATTCATGGTCTTTCAGAATGTGAAAAATATTGCTCCATGCTCTTCTGGTTTTTACACTTTACATTGAGAAATCAGCTGTTAATCTGGTGGACTTTCTTTCATATTGACCTGTGGATTTATTTTGCAGCTCTCAGGATCCTCACTTTGTTCTTTTTATTTGATGTTTTAAATATAACATTTTATGAGTGTCTCTTTTCTTGTCTTGTCGATTTGGAATTCTGTGTGTTCTGTGTGTTTGAATATGTCTGTTCTCAATTTGGAGAAATTTTTCTATCATCTTTTTTGGAAATATGTTCTATGTTATTGAACTACAATTATTTTTTCTTCCCTCACCCCCAACCAAGTCCCTCCTATGTGCTGTCCACTTGCTTGCTCTCAAAAATTAAATAAATAAAATCCCTTCAGAACAGACTCTTTTTTATGGATGACCTTATGCTTAAGACATAGGAAACTTTATACTGAATGTATGTTTAGGCCACTCTGATGAAGACCTAAATCCCATGTTTTTCTGAAACTTGAGTCACTGTTTTGAAAATACTTTCTACTAGAAAAATGCTCAAACCCCCAATGTGTCTATATTTTAAATAAGTTTTTTATTAAAGCATCAACAATAACAATTGGTTAAAAATAATGATAATAAAAAGTTATATAAATTATTTTTAAAATGTACTACTAGAAATGAAGGCACAGATTAACACTAACCTAATAATAAAGAGGTGATTTCAATACCCCACTTTCTCCAATAGAAGTTATGTAGAAACATCAGAATTAAATCACATGAAATATCAAGCAGACCTAATGGATTTCTGAGGAATATTTCACTAAACACAAAAATATGTACATATTTTATTTAGCTTCTCTACAAGTGACAGCACCATGGGACACAAAACAAATTTTAATAGATTTAGACGAACTGAAATAACTTAATGTATTATACATAACACATGCTTTAGAAGTTTAAATTCAACAGCAAGCAATGCTCTATTAATTATATAAACTCATGGATATTAAATAACACAATATTGTCTTGTTCCTAATGATATTCTGCTACACTCATAGACTGATTCATACTCCAATGATTATCAGAGAGACTTCACCCAGCAACTGATGGAAACAGATGCAGACCCAAAGCCAACATTATGGTGAGGTCAGGGACTCCTGTGGAAGAGGGAGAGGAAAGATTGTAGTAGCCAGAGGGGTCAAGGACACCACGAGAAAACCCACAGAAACTATTAACCTGGGCTCATAGGTGCTCACAGAGACTGAACTGCCAGCCCTTATATACCCTCTGCATGTATGTTACAGTTGTGTAGTTTGATCTTCTTATGGACTCCTAACAGTGGGAGCAGTGGCTACCTCTGACTCTTTTGCCTGCTTTTCTGACCATTTTCCTCCTATCAGATCTCCTCATCCCACCTTAATACAAAGATAGGTGTCTAGACTTACTGCAAATTGATATACCATGTTTGGTTGACATCCATGAGAAATCTGCCCTCTTCTAGAGATAAATAGAGGAGTAGTGGATATTGGAGCAGAAGAGAGGTGGGGAAGGATTGGGAGGAGATGAAGAAGGAGCAACTTTGGTCAGGATGTAAAAATTAATAATAAAAAGATTAGGAACAGAAACTTCACCAACAAACATAACCTACAAAGCTGGTATTACCTAAAACAGAAACCAGGCAAAGTAACAACAGCAAGAGGAGGAGGAAGAAGAGGAGAAAGAGAAACAGAAGTAGCGGGAGGGAGAAAGTGAAAGAAAAGGAGAATAATATTAATGATATTGATGATTATGATAATTCTGGCCAATATCCCTAGTACACATAGGGGCAAATAACCCTAATAAGTACATGTAAACTGAATATGGGCATATATAAAAAAAGTAATCCACATGGAACCCAAAAAGTAGGATTCGTTTAGGAGATTCACAGGAGGTTCATCATACATAAGTCAATATATACAATAAATCATATATATATAACAAAAACATATGATCTTCTCAATAGATACAGAAAAGACCTTTGACAAAATCCAACATTGTTGCAGGATAAACCTTTTGTACACTGGGAAGATGTGTTGCTCTCCTTCTTAATAAAAAGCTGACTGGCCAATGGCTAGGCAGGATTTTTGGGGCAGATAGTATACTGGGGAATAGAAGGGTGGGGCTTGAGGAGTCATGATGAGTTGCTATGAGATGCAGAGAGAGCAAGATGGGATGTATGTATGTGAGGTAAATAATCCTCAGGGCAGCACATAGATTAATAAAATTGGGTTAATTTAAGTTATAAGTGCTAGGTAAAAATCAGCCTAAGCTATCAAACAAGCACTTATAATTAATAATAAGTCTCTATGTGGTTATTTGGCAACTGACTGGTGAAACAGAAGAGTCTGCCTACATATGGCCCGCAAAGTGAGGCACCTATATCCACATAATACCTAAAAAAAGCTTTAAAAATAGGTCCTAATCACACAAAAATAGAGCCAAACATGACTTCCTTGTGTCATATCTCCCATTCTAACTGCAATACAGATACACCTCCCAGCTGCTGCCTTCTGGCTTGAGCTGCCAGTGTGAGTGCTGCCAGAGAGAGCTTCACCAGAACACTATGAACTAAAATGCATGGTGAATTTAAGTTTTGCTCATGCAGACAGAAAAGATTATAGATATACAGTAAGGATATATGCAGACAGAAAAAAAATCTCTAAGTGGTTTACAGTGTGTTTAAAAATGTACATAGACTTGGGAGAGAAAAGAGAAATGGTATATACAGTCATAAAAATGGTTCAAAGATAATAAAGTAAAGTCTTTAAAGAAAGAAGAAAGTAATACAATGGAAAAAAAGCATGCAAAGATAGAAAACACACAGGGAGTCTGGATCTTATATGCTATTGTGTTGTCTTTAAATTTTTTTTGACTACTGATAAAGAAGCAATAGCTACTAAGAGACATTTGTTTATGAAAGCTTCCAGATTAAAACAACCTATATATTTAAAAAATATCTTGACTTCAAAATGGAAGTCAAAGATATGTTGCATTGGGAAAGTGGTTATGCTTTTATTTCCTCAGGAAATGAGAGGCTGTGGATTCATTCCAGGTTGATATGGATCAGGTTTGACAGGGGCAGATCCCCTTGAAAATTCTCATTACATACATAAAGAAACAAACCTAGAAAAACTACAAAACAGGTAATATACATTTGACCTGCTCAAATATAAAGCAAAAAAAATCATCTTTGGCTAACTTGTGTACAACACACAGTCTATACTGCATTAATACAGACATGTATGTTACCTTTAAGTTTGTGTATTTTCAGAACAAGGGGACCAGACACTAATGGAAACAGATGGCCTAGGTGATCTGGCATCTCAAAATGCCTCTGTTAGGCTACTCAGAATTCAGCTTCTGAGGCTACTTGCTGAATGGTCCAATCTCACAAATTACTCTAGTCAAGATTTAACAATTATCCTGATTTTCTCAAGCTTTCCCCAAAGGTATCATCACCCACACACACATAACAGAAAGTAGTCTAAAAAATAATGCCCACATTCTCAAGAGATGGGGTATGGGTGGGTTGTGGTAAT